CCTACAAGGCATAAACACACACTTAGTGCAAAACACTAGCGATTAAAGCTCAAACTCAACTAAAGTGCAGTAAATTAGAGTGTAATAATCGACTAAAATACGTAATTATAGTCTATCATCAACACCCCACACCTAAACCATTGCTCGTCCTCGAGCAATCAAACTACACCTTATATAGACACGATCTTTTTAAACAATTCTCCTAACTCATCACACCAAGAATATTTAAAATAGACTAAGCACAAAAGCGTAACAACTTCACCTCAAGATTCGACTCACAAGTACCACGCATTATTCACAACTCAGCTACTTACTCTAACATAGAGGTCACTGACATTACCTTTCCTTCATGAATCAAGTGCCCTAACACAACAAAAGAGAGTAGTTCCACACAATAAAATTTAAGAACACTTAGGAACTCAAGATAGAAAGAATTCACTTACTCTTAAAAATAACATTCATATGCCACAAAAGATGCACCATAAGCTTGCCCGTAGTGTACTACTCTACTAATCGAGCTCATTCAGTCTAGGATCAAGTAGGAATTTATTTGGTTGTAATGTAGGCTGCGGGACGTGTATGATAAATTTAGATATAAGAGTGACTACACCTCCCTAAGCACTTTAATACGTATACTTTAACATTCAAACCCAATACTTATATCAAACCATAACTCCACCTTCACATCACTATATATTAACTCCATTTTTCTTTAAGCACACATACATCAAGAGCCACCACTTATCAAGTAATATTTTTCACAACAATCCAACTATTTTTTTTCTTTTTTTTTCCAATTCAAGTGGCTCTTACTTTTTTTTCAAAACAGTGCACCTTTCTCCTTATTTTATTAGTTCCCCTCAACAGCCAAACCAACCACCCCACACTTTAACTTTTACACAGTTCATAACAATTCAAGTGCTCATGAGAGGTTAAAAGGTTCGAATAGATAGTTAATTCAAACAAATGGGTAAGGCTTGTAATGTGGTTGCCAAAGAAACAGGATTACAAGCTCAAAGGGGTTAACTACGATATATAACAATTAGGCGGGTAAAATATACATATCTGGCTCAACAAAGAAATGCCTATATCACTTCCAAGACTGAACAAAACTACTATTTCGCTTTGCAAACACATGGGGCAAGTTCTAGGCATCAAATGCAATGCATAGAATAACACACAAACCTCACACACACATGGCATATAACTCACTCAGGATTGGACTCATCAAGACACTCTAGTCAAAGCAGTTAAGCAAAGTTAAAATCATACAATTTAAGGTACTTATACAAGAGTCAAAAACTGAGCCTAAGCGTCACAGCCAAAGTACTCACTATTCTCAAGTGATAACAAAGTCAAGAGATATTGCTTCATTGCAAAACACAACACAATGGCTCCTATTCCAAAAAAAAAGACTAACTACACCCGGTTCAAAAAAAACCCTTGAAAAAGAACCGCGGCACAAAGAAAAACCAAGGGGAAATTGCTACACTACCTAACAAAAGAAAATCTTTTTGTCCTTTTTCTTTAGACTTAAATCCCTCAAGAAAATTGTCTAATAGATCCATCGTCAGAAAAGCCCAATCTTTTCTATTTTTGTAAAAAAAAAAGTTCAATTAAACTAACACAACTAAATTAGCATGGAAAGTCACCCAAACAATCTCCTCAGCCTACACTTAAAATTATGCATTGTCCCCAATGCACATCATAACTATAAGAGGGTAAAAGAAACTCCTTGGTAGGCCAAAGGTCGAAGCACTAGCAGCTCATGGGGTACTCAGATTTCTCTCAGGCTTGGTCCTTCGTGCGGATACCTTACACTTAGTTCCAACCATCTGGTTTGTTGTTGCATCCTTCCAATAGCTTTGCTTTCCATGCTCCTAGAAAATCAAAAATTGACACTACAAAAATAATATAATAAAAAAACTAAATTAGAAGTATAAAAAAAAATAAAGCTGGGTTGCCTCCCAACAAGCGCTTGATTTAACGTCGCGGCACGACGTGAATCACTTTTTGCCTCCACCTCGAGCTTATGAATTGAACCCCAAGTTTTGATTCAAGCTTATGATTATGGTCATGGGGCGGTGGAACAAATCTAACTGGCCCAAGGAAATAATGTAGTATTCTGCACTCCTTGGCCTTTTATATGAGATATGTAATCCTGACTTTCTGGCAAGAAGAATTCCAGAATATATGCACATTGTTCCTCATTCCTTGACTCTTCAATTGGTTCGGATGACTCTATTTCCATATCATCATCCAAACATAATGTGGACAAAATCTTTGAATGTGGACCAATGCGCTCAAACACATGAACTTCAGGACTTTCAACATCCTCAACATCAGTGATACTAGAGTCAACAAAATTTATATCCTCAAAGTCCTTGGCTGGCTCTAGTCTCACTTCTTCAACATTGACATCCTCAAATTGTAGTTGGCTAGGTTGTTGATGTTCTAATCTGACCTCCCCAATTAACACCTCAAATTCATGCTCTTCTTGGCTACTATCCTCAATATTGGCTTGTTGAGCATTAAAAGCTCCAACCACTTGACTCAATTGAGCCTCCAACTTGCGAATAGTTGCCTCTTGCCTTTCTATCTGCAATTGTTTTTCATTATTTTGTTCCAGAAGGCGCTTTAACATATCCTTGATCTCCTTCAGGTCCGCATTCCCAGGTTCTTTGTTCCAATTAACTTCACAAGAAAAGGTAGAACCATCATAGTAAGGGGTTGGGGGAAAATAAGAAATATAAGCACAACCATGAAGGTGACCATTTTTACCACCACACACATCACACACATTCCACAAATAAGATTGAGTTGGTGCACATAACTTGCTCTTAGGAACGTTTTAAAAATTTTGCCACGGGTGGTTTCCTTCACAATATGTATGGAGATCAATAGTAGAATTATCAACATCTAAATTCCCATAAATTCAAGATGTCATGTTTCTCAAATCAACAGTTATAAAAAAATACAAAAAAAAAACAAAACAAAATAAAAGTTCAAACTTGAACCCTAGCAATATATACAGCTACAACTACACCGTTAGTTCCCCGGCAACGGTGCCAAAATTTGATCACGCCCAACTCTAGTCCTAAAAAGGATAAGCGGTCGCTGCAAATATAATCCAGTCTAAAAGCCCGGAGTCGAATCCCACAGAGAACTAAGGCTTAGCTATATCTGTTGAATATCACTAAGAAGACAAGTTTGAACAATTTCCTAAATTATAAAGATTGAGATTTATATTTCTAACCAATTAACTAGCAATACTACAAAACGCTAAAATTATCAACTAACGAGACAAAGGGTTGGAGACTAAAATAAGGAGGTCTAGAGTTATGATTTCCCCAATTATCGGAATCCTTCTAGCTATGTTCCCTACAATTTCGCCAATGTATTCTCTACGGATCGTGAGCACTTTAGGTGCCGTAATTCTCTCTCGAGCAACTACAACAATTTACTAGACATATTTTCTCGAACTACGCTAGATGGCTTCATCTAACCGCTCACTATGACCACGTCAAGGCTTTGTTATTTCTAAACCTACCTTGAAACCCAATGTATTGATTTCTCACATACGTTAGGAGTGACGTTGTTCAACAACTACCTAAATATATACACTCTCTCGAGCAGTACACACTAAATAGGCACAGTCAATTGATGGCCATTCAATCAACAGCAACAAACACGTAGTTGAACAAGTAGAGAAATCCAACGGCTCAATTATATAAAAACATAACAAGAATTTATCCTATAAAAGGTTCCATCAAAACCCTAGAAAACGAATTAGCTATTCATAATAGTATGTAAAACTACAATACTAAAAGTCATAACCAACAATAAAAGATAGGAAGAGGAAGAAAAAGTCGTAGAAGAATTCCCCGCCTTGCTCCTATTGTGTTCTTGCCTCCTTAGGTCAAATCTCCGGTCTCCTTAGCCTCCTTAGGTCTAAATTATGTCAAAAGTGTGTCCAACCTCTTAAAATACCATTTTTCCATGTATATATACCAAGTAGGGTCGGGCCCAAACTATTATACCTTCTCCTACGCGAAAAAGGACAATTTTTTCACGTCTGGATAGCCGCGGCCGCGGTCAACCGCGGTACGAACGCGGTATTTGGCAAGTATACTGCCTCAGCTCGCCTCAGGTCCGCGGTCGCGGTTTCGGCCGCATGTTTCACCCTGTTCCGTTTGGAATTTGGAAAAACATAAAACATAAAAGTTGTAGCCCTTTGAGTTAGATTTCCAACCATCTATTGTGGAGCCCAAATGGAGTTTTGAGAAAAAGTTTATGTGCATTTTACTAGAAAGTGCGCAATATGCCTACTCGATTCTTCGTTTTGTTGCTTTATCATCCGTTGATCCCCGAATACGATCCCGACTTAATTCCTTGGGCTTTTACTCAAACTTCAAAGCTCCAAATCACTTGAATTCATTCCATAACATCTATATAGCTCGGAATCACTCCTACAAGGCATAAAATACACACTTAGTGCAAAACACTAGCGATTAAAGCGCAAACTCAACTAAAGTACAGTAAATTAGAGTGTAATAATCGACTAAAATACGTAATTATAGTCTTTCATCAATGAGTAAACAGGTTGCCTCTTCTTTGATGAATTTATCCCTGGCTTCGGCGATGGGGCATTTCTTCTATCTTACTGGAGGTATGTTGGGATCCAAGTTTAACTTGTGTATGGCTACCTCCGTCGTGATGCCTGTCATATCCTCATGCGACCATGCAAAATAATCGGCATTAGATTTTAAGAATACAATAAAATCATACCTGAGCTCCGGGTACAGTACGGTCCCGAAGTGGAACTTCCTTTCTAGGAATTCTTCAAATAATGTAACTTGCTCCAGTTCTTCCGTTGTAGATTTTGTCGCATCCGTCTCTTCCGAAACTTGGAAATATCTAGGCACCTGATAATGTTCCGATGGCTCTGTCCCCGGGCTAACTTCTTTTGGTTCGGGAGTAGGTGCCGGTTCTTGTAATTGCTATGTCGCGTGTTCCTTTCCTTTGCTACTGGAGACCGAAATTGCATTCACCTCCTTTGCTGCCAGTTGATCATCCCTTATCTGCTTGATTCCTTCGGGCATTGGAAACTTCAACAATTGGTGATATATTGAGGGCACAGCTTTCATCTTGTGTAACCATGACCTTACCAGGATGATATTGAATCCCATATCACCATCTACCACTTCGAAAAGGGTTGTTTTCATTACCTCTTCAGCTTTCTTGAGGAATAAAATCTCTCCCCGGGTCGTCACGCTCGCATGGTTGAGTCCGGTTAGGAGCTTTGTGGCTGGAATAATGCTTCCGGTGAGTTTAGCTTGCTCCAATACTCTCCATTGTATGATATTAGCCGAACTTCCTGGATTCACTAGAACACGTTTAATCTTAAGATCTAACATATTTACAGAAATTACCAGTGCATCATTGTGCGGTAGCAGCAATCCGTCTGTGTCCTCCTCCATAAAAGTGATATCGTCATCCCGGAACCTTTTACTATGAGTTATTGATACTTTCATCTTCCTTGCTGCCGAAAAGGTGACCCCGTTAATCTCATTCCCTCTGAAGATCATATTAATCATTTGGCGTGGGGGTTCTTCTCCTACTTTCTAGGGTCCCGCGTTGTCCCTGTTACGACCATAATTGTTCTTAGCTCGGTCACATAAGAACTCTCTGAGGTGATCATATTTCAATAATGTTGCCACTTCTTCCCAAAGGTATCGGCAGTCCCCTGTGTGGTGGCCATTCGTCCCATGGTATTCACACCATAAGTTGGGATCCCTCTGGCTGGGATCAGATCTCATTCATCTCGGGAAGCGTGCCTCTTTGATGTTTCTCATGGCTGACACCAGTTTCATTGTACTAACGTTAAAGTTGTATTCCGATAACTTGGGGTGAGAAGGACCCTGTGGCCTCGATTTTTCTTTATCCTGCACTGATCTATTGCTCCGGCCAGGGTCGGTCCTTCAGTCAACGGAGAACTTGTCTGCTGTTTGGAAGCCTCTACCACGTCCTTCGGTCCGCTCATAGGGCAAAACCTGGCCCCTCGAAGTCCTTCTATTTGTGTCGTAATCATCTTTTGATTTTTCTATGTTCTCCTCCCGTCCTTTGGTCTACGATGAAAAGCCAACCTGATCATCTTCGATCCTAATTTTTGACTCGTACCAGTTGTGGACATCCGCCCAAGTTGTTGCTCAAGCAGGCTTTCCTTCAGCTTCCGGGAAGCGTCTGGACTTCTTGGATTCAATCCCTTGGTGAATTCTTCAGCTGCCCATAGATAAGTTGGTATTTTACCAACTTATCTCGTCTTTAAGCTTAGATTTTTGCTATGTTTGAGTGGTAAAATCATGTGTTTAATGTCGTTTACTTCTATATTACAGGTTCTATGTGATTTAGAAGTGATCTTGAAGAAACCAAGTGAAAATGAGTCAAAAAGAAGCTGAAAAGAAGAAAATCTGGAAAATGGCCTCAGGCGTCGCAATTGCGACACACATATGGGAAATGCAAAGAAAGCAGTGATCGCAAATGCGAAATCAACCCAGGCCAGCAGTCTTCGCAAATGCGATAAAGGACATCGAAAATGCGAAGTCAAACCACACAATCAAACTTCGCTAATACGAAGTTTTATCGCAAATGGGATGATCAACAGGAATATCACTATTCGCAATTGCGAATATTATTTCGCAATTGCAAACTAATATTCGCAATTGTGAAAATCATGCTTCAGTTCTGGGCAATTATGTCATTTCACATTTTTTGGCCCCAAACCCTTTAATACACAACTATGCTCATTTGTAAAATATCTTTGGATATCTTTAAGCAGTCTTTGACCTATTTTGAGAGAAGAACACAAGTTTTGCTTATGGAAATATTCATGTTTAAGGTGTGGATTAAATATCTTGTTGTGCTTATGTATTGAATGATTTTTATCTTTTATGAAGTGAGTTATTATTTCTTTAATTATTTTTGTTCTTTAATGTTTCCAAAGGGATTAGCTAACCCTAGGACTCGCCCATAACTTCGAATTAATTTTGGGAAAGATTATTTGGGGTTTGGGAAAGATTAATTAACAAGAACTTGAGGCTTTAACCCTCATTCTATAGATTCTACCTAGGAATAGGATTGAACTACTTGTAGCAATATTCGGGTGTGCTTAATCTCTTAATTATTTTGGGGATAATTCAGTTAGGAAGTCTTGTTAGTCTTCGAAAGAATCTAATATAGAATTATTACCCGAGGCTAATTAACATAAACTCGCTCATTTGTAAAATCGTGAAATACATTGGATTGTTACTTGAGTGTAATTCTCAATGCACCCATACTTGTAGCCATTGACCATTTTACTTGCTTTCTAGGTTAGTTTACATTTTTGCATTCACATATAAATATTTTCAAAAACCAATTCTAAGTGTTTGGCATTGCATAACAAGTGATAATTCTCTTACATTCCTAATCGCCTACATATTGTTCTATGTGGGATTCGACCCCGGCTCATAGTTTGGTAAACTATATTGCATGCGACCGTGTCCATTTACTTTTTAGTAGTGGATTTGGACGTCATCACCCATTCTTCCGAGATAGCCGGGAACAACATTTTTCCTTCTGGAATCGGGTAACGAATTCTCGTAGTAACTCGGACTCTCCCTACACAATCCTGAATACATCGGCCTTCCGGGCTTGTACTTTTCTGGCCCCGGTATGGGCCTTGATGAAAGATTCCGTGAGCATTTCAAATGAATCTATGGTGTGCTCCGGAAATAGTGAATACCACGTCAAAGCTCCCCTCGTGAGAGTTTCTCCAAATTTCTTTAATAACACAGATTCGATTTCATGAGGAGCTAAATCATTTCCCTTTACCGCCGTTGTGTAGGTGGTAATATACTCCTAAGGGTCTGAAGTTCCATCATACTTTGGCACTTTAGGCATCTTGAACCGCTTCGGGATTAATTCTAGGCCGCACTCGGCTTGTATCGCAATTGAGTATACTTTTTTTAGTCCGGGCCCTTCAGTTGTTACACCCCATATTTTCATACGTAAGAGTACGTCGTAAGTCAATTGATGTACGCTCAGAAATGAAATCATCATTGAAAAGTTTATAAAGTAAGTTAATCATATTACCGTGGAAGTTACAAATATTTAAGCTCATGAATAACAAGTACCAAGATGGTTGGAAAGCTTAGAAGCTAAACGAATTGAAGAAGATAAGTTTTGTCGAAAGTAGACAAGTTTGGTGTTACACCCTGTGCGTCCTAAGGTGATGTATAATGAATATGAGACTTGTTAATCATGATTTGAATGATTTTAAAGTCATAATATGACTATATATGATGTTTGGATGCAAAATATAAAGTTTGGGAATAATTGGATTTAACTTACAGAAAAATCGAGTTAAGATTTGCCTTGTAACGAGCCATTTTGAGAAATTAAATTCGCAAGCTTTATGATGTCATTTTGGGGCATATCTCATACCAAAATGAAGATCTTGGAACCTAGTTTCTAACGGTCCAAATCATTTATTCATACTATATCGGGGTAGAGAAATATGGATTTTTAAAGTAGAGTCGCCAAGTCACGTTGCCGCACTTCGGAGAAACTGTCAGGTTTATAGGCCAAGTTGCGATGCAGTTTTCTCCCAATCTATTGAGAGTTACAAGGAGATATTTATATGTAAGTAAATCCCCATGTACCTATTTTCTAACGCTAAAAACCATTTGTCAATATAATATCAGAGTAGAGAGATACAAGTGTCCGAAGTTGCACTGCTCAAGCTGCCAAGCAGGCAGCTTACCCACCTGCTTGGAGAATTGAAGCGGTGGGCTTATAAGTTGTCTTTACCCATTATATTTTGTCAATATCTAGATATTACTTACACCAATATACTCTCAAGCTCTCCAAGAACTGATCCAAGATCCCAAGAACCAAACTCAAGATAAATCAACACAAATCATCATCAAAGGTGTTAAAGACTACAAGAGAATGCTTCTATGATGTTGTGGTGTGATTGAGGGCTATTGTAAGCTAAGTTGAGATAGGGCTTCGAGTTTTAGCTGCTGTATAAGGTATGTATAACATCTTTTTGATTGTGCCTAAGGTTAATCTTGTGTTGGTTGAGTTGTTTGAGTGAAAAACCGTAAGATAGCACTCGAAAGAACATGGGATATGGTTGTCTTTTTGGTTGGACTGTTTTGTGGCTAAATATATGGCTGTGGTGGCTGAAAATTGTGAGAAATAATTTGATAATGTTGTGGCTGTTGTTGTTAAGCTTTTCTAGGTGTTAGTTATGTTGATTGAAGAAGAAAAGATGAAAAATAAGTGATTGACGATAAAAATTAAGGTGCTAGATGTATGGGGCTGTTTTAGAAGGTATTTTGTGGATGTTTTAAACTAGAAATAATATGGTACATATAAGTATGATGTTATGAAGGTTGTAAACCAATTTATGGAACAAGAGTTGGATTCAATTTATATCTTGTTACGAGTAAAAACGAGCTTATCGCTCAATATGATTGTTAAGATAATCGGAGAAACTCATATTGGATTATATTGTTGTTGTTGCTATTGTTGGTTATAGTTATTGTTGTTGGGCAGTTGATGACCCTTAGTGATCTTTGAGATGTATTAAAAAATAGGGGAGTTGCTGCCCGATTTTCCTTAAGTCATACGACTAGCCGAAAACGATGGTACGACATTATATGTTAACAGCGATATCATTTCACTTGTTGTAGATGCAAGAAGTTGTGTTAAGCTTGGTTGAGTAATAAGGAAGAGATCATGTAGGTATGTTAAGGCTAATCCTTCCTTCTTTTGCATTGATCCAAGTAACGAAACGTAAAGTTGTTCTATAAGTGGTTCTGCTCTTAGTAGTTAAGGATGTCTACGTTATTCATTCCTATGAAATGATATTCAAGCATGTCTAAGTATGTTCCTAAGTCTCTATTGAGGTATATGATAAATATGTTAATGTTTATAATATAGTGATACATCCATCTCCATGCATTACCACTATGCTACGGCAGGTTGGGCAAATATGCATCTTCATTAACCACCGTGCTACGGCCGGTTGGGCAGACATGCATCTTCATTTACCACCGAGCTACGGCTGGTCGGGCATTCATGCATTTACCACCAGGCTACGGCCGGTCGGGCAGTTACCACCGGTTGGGCAGTTATGCATCATTATTTACCACCGGTTGGGCAGTTATGCATTTACCACCGAGCTACGGCCGGTCGGACAATTACCGCTGATCAGTTGGGTAGTCATGCATCAATATAGATAATGGTTTCAAAGAGGATATATATATATATATATATATATATATATATATATATATATATATATATATATATATATATATATATATATATATATATATATGTATATAAGTATGCATATACGGTAGCACTTATTATGTTTCAGTTATGCCTTACATACTCGGTACATTATTCGTATTGACATCCTTTTTGTTGTAGACGCTGCATTCATGCCTGCAGGTATAGGTAATCAGTTTGACGAGCCCTCATAGTAGACGAGGTTAGCATCCAGCGAAGGATCAAAATGACTCTACTTTATTCG